GGGGGGGGGGGGGACGGGGGACGTTCGCTCGCTTGCAAAAAAAAGAAGAAAAAAAACCCCCCAAATAAAATTGCGTCCCTTTAAACCGGGTGGGCGGAGAGGAGACTGTCAAGGAGAAAGGAGGGTCTTGGGAAGGACAGCCAGCCAGCCAGCCAAGCGTTGCTTGGTTTTGCTCGCCTTGTTGTGCTCTATCCACTCAGCTTCGGGTGGGAGGGGGTTACCTTTCTTCCCCCCCCCCCCCCCCCTCATTGCCACAATCCTCCCAATCCAAGCCGGCCTTGCTCTTTTTATTTATTTTATTTTATTTTATTTTATTTTATTTGCAATATTGCTTCGCTTGTAAAAGGGGGGGGGGGAAACCAACCGAGGGAAGAGAAATCGCAGTTGCTTGCGTTATTTTCCTTTCCTTTTTTTTCAAGTCCACCTTTTCTCTTTCTCTCTCTCTCTTTCTCTGCCGCTTCCCGAGAGTCTTTTGCGGGTACGCCTCCCCGAAGCGAGGGGAGACATGCTTTGCGGGGAGGCCTGGCCGAGCCCCCCTTCTCCTCCTTCGGCCGCTGGAGGGCGGTATGGAGCGCCCCAAGCCTTCCGCGCAGGCTTTGCTACTGTAGCAGTCAGGCATTTTCCCTTCCTGTTTGGAGACCAACCTTGCCTTGTTTAAAAAACACACACACATACACACACCTAGAAGACTCCGAGGGACTGGCACCTTGAACTTGGCCTTGATTTATTTCCCTCGCCCCTCCTTTCCTCTCCCTTTTTCCCCCCCCCCCCTTCCTCGAGCCTTTTCACCCCGTTCCGCTCCTCTCTTTCACCAAACCTCTCCCTTTCTCCTCCTCCTCCTTTTCTCCTTCCCCTCTTCCCCGCTCTCCCTTCCTCCCCCTTTTTTTTCCACCCCACCCTCCATCCTTTCCTTCTTCCATGGCGGAGACAAAAATAATTTACCATATCGATGAAGAAGAGACCCCTTATCTGGTGAAATTGCCCGTTTCTCCGGAAAAAGTCACTTTGGCGGATTTTAAAAATGTCCTCAGTAACCGGCCGGTGCATAGCTACAAATTCTTCTTCAAGTCGATGGACCAGGATTTTGGGTAAGTTGGGGTTTGCCTTATTGTTTGTTTGTTTTTTAAAAAAAAAAATTATTATTATAAGGTTTTTCCTGAGGTTGGTCAGTCCTGTAAGTGTCCTGATTTTGGTGGCATTTGAGAACAGCTGGCATTCCCTGCCTGCCTTTTGAACATTTTAAGGGTGGGAGGCAAATCTGCTTAGTTTTATGGAGCTTCCTTGCCATGCACCTGTTTATGGGGAAGACCAAATGATATGCTCGCTCTGAACCTGTGTGTAATTCTTTCCTGTCTTGGAAAAAAATAATCTGTGCACCAAATGTCATGTTTTATAGAGAGCTTTGTGTGTGTGTGTGTGTGTGTGTGTGTGTGTGTGTGTGTGTGTGTGCGCGCTCCTGGTCCTATCCTAAACTGGGATATGTGAAGGTCCGGGATCGGATTTAAGGTCTTCTTTATGTTTCTACCTAAGCTGTCAAGAGTCCTTTGATGGTAGCCGGATAGAAATGTGATAAAACACGTGGAAAGAAAAATACGTTGAGACACCACTCTGGCAAAGGTGGGCATGTTCAGACCGCAAGGGCAGAAAATATGAAATCTAAAGAGGTGGAGCTTAGATATTCTGAAGTAGGAGGCCCTGGATAGAAGCTGGAGCGATGTGTGTGACGCTGATGGCCTAGAATTATGAAAGTTTTCGGAGGCGATTCTGTAAGTGCTTGGGTGTGGGCTGTCCCTTTATCCCACCTCCCGCCAAAGCAGCCTGAAGTTTAGCTCTTCAAATGCCAGGTAGGCAGCAGTGGGGACTAGCTTTGCTGCTGCCAAGTTGCTGTTCCTGGGTTGCCAGTTGGGCCTATTGGACTGATTGATTTGCTCTTGCTATAAAGAAAGACTTGACACTCGCTGGGGAGATGTTTAGGTCCCACTGATTTTGTTTCCTAGACGGGGAGAGAGAGAGAGAGAGAGAGAATGACACTGTACTACCCATCACGTTCCTTTTCTTTCTTGCAAAAGCAAAACCATTCTGTTTCGGCTGGAGGCTGGTTTTGTCTTTTCTGCCTGGGCGATGCCATCTAAGCAGGGACAAGAAATAAACTTAGGTTCCTCAAGAGAATTGGAGTCTTGTGTGGATCGTATCGATTATCCGCTTCCAAGGTGTGAGGTTTCGGCGTTGGCATGTTTTATATTAAGAAATGGTGGTGCCTGTTTTGGCTTCAGCGGCTTGGATAGGTCTTAATAGATCTATAAAAGGGGTTGCCAACCTTTGGACCTCAGGGACCACTAAACTCATAATTTTAAATCCCGCGGATCAGAGGCCCTGGGAAAATCCCCCAAAATATCTGCTGGAAAATTCCCCATCCCATTTTCTTACCTATCGATCATTCTTTACTTGGGATCGCAGGATACCATCTCCGGCTCCGTTCTCGGGGTGGGGGTGGGGGAGACTTTTGGCTTCATGCAAGGAAAACAGCAGAGGCAGCAGAAGCCTTTCTTTCTCTCCCCCAAACTCTGCCAGAAATGAGTCTTTGTGAGACTTGTCACGCCGGCGCAGCCTCTTGTAGCAGGGATGCCTTGCAGGGTCCCAAAGACTCATTTCTGGTGGAGTTTGGGGGAGAGAAAGAAAGACTTTTGCTGCTCTCCTTGCGTGCAGCCAAAAGCAGAAGCGGAAAGAAGCAGCCCGGTGGCCAGGCCAGGCGCATGGGGCGCGTGGGGCAAGTTCCCCCCTCCGCCCTTTCCCCCCTCCCCTCACTATCATGTTATTTGCAATGTAAGCGGCGCAAGCCTTGTGTTCCCACGAGCCATGTGGGCGGCGCAGCCTTGTGTTCCCGCGCAGCCTGGATTAATTGCTTTGGAGGGGGGACACATTGTGGACCACCAAAATTTTCTCGCGGACCACCAGTGGTCCCCAGCCCACTGGTTGGTGACTACTGATCTATATGGCATTAATAGTGTAGGAGTACTGTGGTTAAAAGGTTGGACTTTTTTTTATTTGTTGTGGGCTGAAGACGACAATAGCTGAAAACGTCAGAGCAATTTTCTGGGGCTACAAAGCGTTCTTATTCAGGCCGTTGATAAGGCGGCCGAGGCACTGAGATTTCTACCGAGTGATAATTGTGTTTCCAGAAGGCTTTTATTTAAGAGTCAGACAGGCTTGCAAAATTATACCCTCAACAAAAGTCGTCAAATGTAATAGTATAAAGGGGAGAGGAAAACCCCAAGAAGGGTTGTGTCTCTTTAATAAAAGAAGCAAAGCGGGAGGAAAGTCTGTGCCTTAATGCGATTTTGACATTAACAACACCATGCCTGTAAATACCAGTTGCAGGAGAACACTAGTGGCAGAGGGTAATGTCTCTGACTCCCCACTTGCCAGCACCCCAAAATTATATGGTTGGATGTAGTGAAAAACAGGACCTGCTGGACTAAATGAACTTTGGCCTGATCTCACAGAGCTGATCTTGGGATGGTTAGGAATAAAACGGAACATTTCGCTTCCCAAAGTTTACTCTTGAGTGGCCTGTTCTGTGGCTTTTGCTACTGTTTATCGTGCAGAATGGCTAAGAGGCTTAGATCACCAAGCTATATACGGTACCGACGAAAAGGCCTTGCCAAGCTCAAAGATTGCCCAACAACCTTTGTCAACTGCCCAGCAGCAAAGGAGGAGAATTTCTGTGGTTGGACGTAATATCCATTGTTATAGAGACAGGTGCTCCTTGACTTACGACCCACAAGGAAGTCCCAAATTTGTCGCTAAGCAAAACATCTCTGAAGTGAGTTTTATCCCATTTTGCAACCTTTCTTGCCACAAAGGTGCTTCCCCACCCCCCACTCCTCCCCACACACTTCAAAAAGCAACGGGGCTGTTTGGTGAATCACTGCAGTTGTGAGGTTAGCAACGGTCGTTAAGTGAATCTGGCTTCCCCACTGATTTTGGTTGTCAGAAGAGCGCAAAACGATAATCACATGATCCCAGGACTCTTACGACGATCGTAAATATGAGCCAGTTGCCAAGCGTTCGAAGTTTGATTCACATGACTATGGGGACGATGCAACAATCATGAGTGTGAATACAGGGCATAAACTACTTTGTTAAAGTGCCATTGTAACTTCAAACAGTCACTAAATGAACGTTTGTAACTCAAGGACTACCTATATACAGATATATAGGTACAAATTGAATACATGAATTACAATAGAATGAAGAGAAATTGAACGCACTCCTGCCATGCAAGGTTTAGGAGCTACCTCTAACATAAAATGCAAGTGGCAGGGTCTGTGGGAGTGGACACATTTTATTAAGCCATGGGTGGTTTAAGCATGGTGTTTTGAAAAACCACAATTGGCAACTTTTGCCTATAAAATTAACACATCAATCATAGCTTAGAAACCACAGAGGCTGTATTCATACCCTGCATTCTGCCAAAATAAAACAAATCATGTCAATTCATGGGGTGTTGAATGTTAGCTTCATCTTATCTGTAGACCAGGCCACTGTGGTTTATTCAATGAATCACGGTTAAAGCCAATCACAGCTTCCTTTGTCCAGAGTCAAAATCCTACCCAAGATATCTGTGACCATCCAATCTCTCTGTCTGAACTTAAAACTAATCCTTTGGATGGCCTGGCTCTTAGTTGAGGCTGCTGTGGTCTAAAATTCCTTTTTGTCTGTCCTATTCTGACCAATTTGAGAGCCCAGAAAACAGAATAATAAACTTCATGTGAAACTAATCAGGTGTGTATACCCACTTTTACCAACCCGAGTATCAGCAGAGCCTGTGATGAAGACCTTAAATTTTAGCTTTTTATACTCAAGACTGCTGAGTGTCTTAAGAAGAGTTAACTTTCTGCAACAGTTATGCATGAGAATCCCATCCTATAGTGGGAAAAAGTTGCCTTTATTATTTATTTCCCTGTAGCTTTATTTCTAGTCTCATAACTCACCTTAACCTGGCTGATTATATCTTTACATTTGAAGATTCTCAAGTCATCCAGATAAAGTCTAAAAGTTGAGTCATAGCAACTGAACTTATTTTTCTAGTTAGTTTGAGGCATTTCACTGTTCAAAGCAGCAACATCAGTCAGAGCTAGTTAGGTAGTGTCACTGGAATGTACCAACTCTTCCTCCAGCTACCTCAGCAGTTTCTTCCTCAAACTGGGTGGTAATATGGCGATGAAGATGTAGCAAAATGTCTCAAACTAACAAAAATTAAAAATAAGTCCAGTTGCCGTCAATCTTCAGGCTACTTCTGAAATAAGTTTTTCCCCAACTGGATTTGGTCTGAATTTGTACCTTGGCAAGCGCACAAATATCTTTACCTATGTATCTGTCCCAGGTGATTAACACTCTAAATTTACACATGATATCCTGGTTCGAATGTTCACATTTTTTTTACATACAGTATTTTCAGTGTTCTAAATTAGTGTTCAGTCTAGCTTGAAAAACTTTCAACACAACCTTACTTAATTGGCTTTTAAAAAAAAAAATGGGTTGGACACAGTTATAAAGAAAATGTCTCTCAGTGGTTATTGACATTATTTGATGAAAGAGGGATTAGACATAGAAAATGGTTCCAGATGCGGAGGATAAACAAAAGATAGCTGTTAGTTTATTTTTAGTAATGACTTTTCCAGAAGTAACTGCTGTCCCCTTTCCCAGTAAACTGGATCAAATTGTGCTTTTTATATGTGAATGAAATGAACTATGAGTTGAAATATGAAGGTGCCTAATTTAAGTCCTTTAAGGTGGAGTTGATGTTTTTTTTTGCCCCCTGGCTTTTCAATGTTTTGATCTGTTGGCATGTAACTGATTTGTTTTAAAAGAATCGTAACACCCAGTTCTTTTATTACTGTCATGAATCAGCATTTGAAATGTAATAATTGCTTGGTAATAAAATCTGTTCCTTCTCTGTTGGATTTGTGGTACCTGAATCTATTTCTAGCTTGAGGAACTGGTGTTATGTATCACTTGCAAAGGTCAGAACCAAGGGAGGAAAGATTGTGGAAAAGCACCAATGGATTTTTTCCCCCAGGCCCTA